TTGTTAGCTCTTTGATTGATTTGCACTTATTTTAAATTCACTATGCCCGTGTACTGGTGGATCTATCATTACGAGCAACAAATACCTATGTTCATTATATATACTAAGTTCATTATTGGTATTCCAATTTCATAAATTTCTTGGGACACTCGCGCAAGTGGTTCTTTATTTTGCCTTCGAACACGTCTTTCCGAAAGCTGGACGTCCCGATATTTGTGCATTTTCCGCACTTCTTGGCGTTATGTCTAGTTTGATTGTCTTCTTCTCTGCTTTTCTATATTTCTTTCTCGTGTCCACTCGCTGAATCATCTTTCATTTCTGGAGTTGCTCTTTTCTTGTTTCTAGGCTTTCACCTATTTCTATAGCCGCTACCCGGTTGATTCCCAAGCAAACCAGACCCTCCCTAAATCCATGTTCGGTAGCTCTCCCTATTTTCCTAAATTTTTTCTTCTTAGTGATTCTTATTGTTTGTCCTTCTTGGCTGCAAAAAAAATTATAACTTTCATATACATTCTGCCTTGACAATAATCTTCAAAAGCCTTTCAGACCTCTTCGTATTTCTCTTTATTCTCATGGGCTCAATCGAACGAGTTAAATTTCGAGTCCTTCACTAACCGATAAATTCAAAGATTGCATTTTTAGTCTTATCTGGCTTGGCATCTTTTTCCTTGCAAGTAAATAGTTTTCTAGCTCTTGCTTCCATTTTTTTTTTTTCTTTAACATTTCCGACGGAGAATGTTAGCGGAGCAGGGTAAATCCATTTTGCTCCTGACACATTGTAATAACTTAATAACTTCTATACTTTCAAAGTAGACTCAACTAATGAGTATATCGCAAGAATTCCAAAATTTTTATTATTACATTTTTAAACAGTTCACATGACATTCAGCTAGCACACTAACACGTGCATCACAACAACGGAATCGCATAGCATGAACGCCATTACAGTTGTAGTTATTTTAAATATACATCACATGCTGTCGTTGGAAGCGAAGTGATTATTTAAAGCATAATGGAATGAAGATCTCGTGTGATGGTGTCCTACGCCCAAAACCAAAAACCATATAACAGAGATAAAAAAATAACATTCAGAGTTATAAAATCATAAATTTCTTGCGTTCTGAGTTATATTACTATTTGAATATTGAATTTGCTTTCAGCTGGTTGCCTTTTTAATCGCGTCTAAATCGGAGTTTTTCAACGCATCGGTTGCGCATCCATTTGGATTTTTTAGCTTTTCTTTGAAGTACGCCTTTCGGTATTTCGCCGAAGCTGCTGCTTTGGATTTTGGTAAGCTATTTTTGCTTTTTGATTTCCTCGCTATGCTTTACCTCGGTGAAATATGAATGAGTGTCAGCCATCAGCAAACTTAGATAATGAAATCTCCACCGCCGAACAAGCCTTCGGTAGGATTCATATACACATAGAGAGAGCTAATCTCCCACCCAATGTTAAGTCTTACACAACCCTAAAAAGGCAAGCTATTGCTGATCTCCTTAAATTCAACTCAGTTGAAAACAAAACTAGCGATGATCTCAAACGTATAGCGGAACTTGAACGCATCATTCAGATTACGACGCATTCTTAAATCTGGCCGTCATCAAACAAACAATTCCATTATGGAAAATAATAACGAAAGCGATGCTATGTTAAAGGCAAAAGCATCTAATCAAACAAAAAAGCGATGCAAAAATCGCAATAAATATATCGCGAATAAGAAAAAGAAAATACTCGATATATCTAAGAATAAGAAAAAGAAAAATTACTTGACTACGGACACGCGACGGGTTTTAAAACCCCCCGTATCACGCATAAACGAACGCATTCAAATTCATCGGAAGCTGAACTACCCGTACAGAAAATAAGTTCAATGACCTACAGGACGATGACCGCATGGAGCAGGAATCGAACTCAGAGTCCGCAGGATTTACTCTCGCCAAAAAAAGCACTGGACATATTCCCCCAATTGTTCTCTCAGATTTTACAGCCAACTGGGATACGTTAAAAGAGGAAATCGAAAATTTAGGAGTAAAAAAAGTCAAAGGCAATCTCACAGGAGATACACTCAACATCAAAGTCTGGGATAAAGATGACTATCGCGCAATCACGGAGTTTCTGGCCAAACGAGGTGTGCAATTCCACACATACAAAATTAATTCCGAAAAACCAATCAAAGTAGTAATTAAGAAAGCTGCCTAGAAACTCAAACGTGGAAATAATTCACAAAGAACTCACTGAACACGGAATTCCTGTAGAAAAGATACGTCAGCTCGAAAGATTCCGAGAAGGAAAAATTGTTAAACTACCTATATTCTTAGTCGAGGTCAAAAGAAACGAAAAGGGTAAACAAAATCTACCAATAAAAATAAAGCAACTTCGTGGATTAGACGTCATAGTCCGTGCTTACAAATCCAGACCTGGCCCTGTGCAATGCCACAGGTGCCAGAGATACGGACACACTCGAGATCTATGTCATTACAAACCTAGGTGTCTTAAATGCGCCGAACCGCACGAAACTTACACCTGTAAGAAGAACAAGGACAAACTACCAGCGCTCTGCGTTCTGTGCGGCGATTGCCACCCGAGCAACTGGAAGGAATGTAAATACCATCCGGATAACCTACCCAAAAGAGTCTTCAATAAGAGCAATCAAAAGGAGAAACAAACAATTTCAATTAAATAAAGAAGATCTTCCTACCCTCCCTGGAGCTACGGAAAACGAAAATACTAAAAATCAACCGAGCTGGGCAACTCAAAAGGATAACAAAAATAAACAAGAAAGCAAAGCTAAAGAAGTTTCATTTTTTGAGTGGATAAAAACCCAACTCCTAAAAGCGAAAGAATTCTTTACAGAATTTAAAAAAGCAAAAAAACATCATGGGTAAACTCGAGGTCGGAATGGCCGCAATTGAATATTTCACTTCTTTAGACCTCATAGCAATATAAACGCGATGATTTCAGCTACCAATAGCTTTTCAAAAAATTTCCTATTTCAATGCGAACGGTGTCATAAAACAATATCAAGAAATTAAAGATTACTTGGATAAGTACAACATTGATGTCATGATGATAGGTGAAACTCACCTTAAAGCTTGCGATAAATTTAAAATAAACGGCTACAATATTATAAGGAAAGACAGAACCCGAAGTAGATGGGGTGGTACTGCAATTATCATTAAAAATCACTTAAAGCATACTGAATATGATCTTCCTCACAATAGTCTGCTCGAATTTACTTCAGCTATCATTTATACTGCTTTAAATGAAGCCTACCTATTTATTTCTATTTACAATCCTCCTAATAATCTGATGACTAATAATGACCTGGATATCTTAACCTCCACCAACTTCCCGACTATCATCGCAGGGGACTTGAAAACGCAAAGCAAATGCCTGGAATTCTAGAGGATCTAACAGCAATGGAAACATTTTACATAACTATTTAATTAGCAACGACCTCAATTTTGCTGCTCCCACTTCTCCAACAAGATTTGGTGCTAACGGAAACGGCGAAGTTTTGGACATTGTACTTCTTAAAAATATTCCTCATACCCCTCTCTTAGAAGTAATAACGGACTTAAATTCTGATCATCTTCCAGTGAACTTCGACTTTTATGGCTTTTATCCCCCGTTAAAGAAACACAGAACTAAGATAAATTGGACCCAATTCTCTGATACTATGAAAGACTATAATTGCAGAAATAATTATAATCATTGCGGTGATATCGAAGATGAAATTTATAAATTCACCACCACTAAAATGAAAGATGCAATCAATAATGCGACTTATCCCTGCAAAAGCACTAATTTTCTCTCCCTTCCTAAATATATAAAAGATATTATTGCAGAGAAGAATAGAAAACATAAGGAATGGCAGCGGTCCGGAGACCCTCGTGCCAAAAGGCACATCAACTTTTTAAACAGGAAAATCAAGCATGAAATTATGGAATTCAGAAACAAAAAATGGGACTTTCTCCTATCAAACCTGGATCCTCAAGATCAAGCAGTATGGAAAATTGCTAAATCTCTAAGAAATAGCAGACCAAATCAAACTCATGCAATTCATCACATGGGAATCTCCTATCAATCTGAGGACGAGATTGCTAATATAATGGCTAATGAATTAGAGAAAATATTTCAACCTCACCCGCCTGAGAATAACTCCCAAGAAGAAGAAGTTAATTTTACCATTGACAGTATTAACAATTATCCTATAACAAATTTCATTCCCTTTACTTCACCAAGAGAAGTAAGAGAAATTATTCACAAACTCAAGCCAAGGAAAGCCAAAGGCTATGATCAAATTAGCAATGAAGCACTTAAAGCCCTTCCTAGACGTTGTATTACTAACATAGTCAATATTTTTTAATGCCTGCATCCGAAATAATTATTTCCCTCAGCAATGGAAACACTCAATAATAGTCAATATCTTAAAACCAAAGAAAGATCCTAAACTCGTCACTTCCTACAGACCTATCAGTCTTTTACCTTCATTAGGAAAAGTATTTGAGAAAATCCTCTGCTCAAGGCTCACTAACCATCTCGAAAGACTCAATTTAATAGATGATCTGCAATTCGGCTTCCGCAGTGGACACTGCACGACTCATCAAATTCTCAATTTGGTGGAATTTGTTTCGCAAGCCTTTACTAAGAAAAACGGGGTGGTGGCTGCATGCTATCTCGACTTCGAAAAGGCCTTTGATAGAGTGTGGCATGCAGGCCTCCTGCATAAATTGAATAATTTTATGCTTCCAAACAGTTTCGTAAAACTCATTAGTTCCTATCTGAAAAACAGGACTTTTCAAGTTCGCTGCGGTGACGCCTTATCTGTCAGAAAAAGAATTCATAGCGGGGTCCCGCAAGGATCCGTTCTTTCCCCCCGGCTCTATAATGTTTATATCAATGATTTCCCGCACCCATTCAACACGAAAATACTCAAATACGCTGACGACACTGTAGTACTGACTGAATCCAGAAGTCCCCAGCTCGCTCTAAGTAATTTACAAATGCATCTCAATATGATCAATCACTGGTGCAAGACTTGGAAAATTAAGCTCAAGCTCAACGCCTCTAAATGTTGTATTGTGCTCTATCGGAGATACAAAACAAGATTAAGAGTTCAATACTGATATCTACTTAGATAGAACTCTAATCCCTGTAGCTAATTCCTTCCCCCGGCCCCGGTCCTAAGGTCACGGACTCCGCCGTATATATCGTGTAGGAAACAGCATCGGCTTTAGTATTTCTCTCCGTATCACCCGATCCTTAAGGGACATATCTAGCGATCTGAAGTACCCAAAATCGACAGTGGTCTATGTGATTAAGAAGTGGAAGGTGAGCGGTGATTGTCGGAATGTGCCCCGAGTCGGCAGACCAACGAAACTGGGAGATAGAGATCGACGAGTGCTGTCCAGAGAAATTCGGAAGAACCGCACCCAACCGATATCCCTCATCCGCGAGGAGTTTCAACAGGCATCCGGGAGTATTGTTTCAATGAATACCATCCGTAAGGAAACACATCTGCTTGGTTTTCATGGTCGTGCTGCTGCCCATAAGCCTTTGATCACAAAGTCCAACCGCGCTGCTCGGTTAATGTGGTGCAAAGCACATCGAAATTGGACCGTAGATCAGTGGAAACGGGTTCTTTGGAGTGACGAATCAAGGTTCACCCTTTACCGTTCGGATGGCAGGGTCTGGGTCTGGCGTTCGTCTACTGGAGAACGTCTCCTGCCAGAATACATTGTACCAACAGTCAAGTTCGGCGGAGGTGGAATTATGGTCTGGGGGTGTTTCTCTTGGTATGGGCTGGGACCCTTGGTCCCCATTCATGGTAAGCTCAACTCCGATGCCTACTGCACTATTTTGGATGACAATGTACTTCTTACGTTGTGGCAGTTTTACGGGTTGGACCCCTGTTACTTTCAGGACGACAATGCCAGTTGTCATGTTTCGACGTTAACCAAGGCTTGGTATGGTGCCAATGGCGTTCATCGAATGGACTGGCCTGCCCAGAGTCCAGACCTGAACCCTATCGAGAACCTTTGGGACGAGTTGCATTCCCGAATTCAGGGGTGCACTACCCGTGGAAAATCGGTGAAGGAACTTCTATGTCTTCTCCAAGAAGAGTGGAAGAAAATACCAATAGCTGTCATATAAAGACTTCTGGAAAGTATGCCCCGGAGGGTCCACGCTGTTGTAAGACCTCTCGTGGAGGCTCTACCAACTACTGGTTTTGAATAAAGTTAGTTTTTCTTTCTATCACAGGTGTCCAAATACTTATTGGTAGTCAGTGTATTTAGGTGTTTACATAGATAAGTCGCTCAACTTCAAAGATCATATTTCTTACATCTTAAACAAAGCAAATGCAGCCTACATGGCAATTTATCCTATTATGGGCAAAAAATCAAAGCTCAGTCTAAAAATAAAGAAAATGCTTTACATATCTCTAATTCGACCGATCATGCTATATGCAGTGCGGGCCTGGGCAATCGCCAATAAAACTGAGCGCAAAAAACTGGGTATACTTCAAAATAAAATTCTACGTAGCATTGTGAATGCAACTTGGTACGTGAGAAACTCTATAAAAAAACCTGGATAACGACCTGGATATTCCATCTGTGCACAACTTTATACTCATGACAGCTCACAACTTCTTCGAAAAGATGAAGCATAGTCAGTATAACGCAATTAAACAAATGTTGGATTATGATCCAACCATTGAATAAACTGTCAAACGCCCAAGGACAATTCATCACAATTTGTAATGGTGGTAACTTGTAAATTTTAATTTTAAAATTTACTTGAACTCTGAAATTGGACTCTATCCTATTATTGTGTTGCATCTTAATGTTTATCAAGAAACTTTTTTTATTAAGATTTTTATGTTACTATTTAATTTTTTAAAATTATTTTGTATGAATGTTTACTTTATCGTATTATTCTACGTACTTTTGAACTTTTACGGCCTATCTATCTACTGCATACTTCTGAAGGACTTTGAACTCTTATGCCATTCACAGCTTCAAACTGTCTTCGCGCCATTTTCATGATGTCTCACTACTGCTTATCCTGCACTCTTACTAGCTATATTGCACTCACCATCTGCATTTGCCATACAACTCACTGCACCTGTCTGCATGCTTCAATTTAATGCCATTGCTTATCACTGCACAATTTTTTGATGAACGCCTACTTTCGTAAGTATTAAGATATGCCTGCTCACGCAGGTGAATTTTCTTCGCCCACGGGTGTTGGTACTTCCCTAGTATCATTTATTTGAAAATATCTTTGGCTAGTGCATTTTAATGGGATCTACTGGCGAAAACTCTTTAGTAGTTAATGACCAGAAAAAAGTAAGTCATAAGTCAAAGTTAGAATATATACTTATGTTAACCAGAAACTTTTTTATTCAAGATTTTTTATTTGTTACTATTTCATTTTTTTAATTATTTTGTATGAATTTTTACTTTATCGATGATTCTACGAACTTTTGAACTTTTTACAGCCTATCTAGCTACTGCATACTTCTGAAGGACTTTGAACTCTTATGCCATTCACAGCTTCAAACTGTCTTCGCGCCATTTTCATGATGTCTCACTACTGCTTATCCTGCACTCTTACTAGCTATATTGCACTCACCATCTGCATTTGCCAAAAAACTCACTGCACCTGCCTGCATGCTTCAATTTAATGCCATTGCTTATCACTGCACAATTTTTATGATGAACGCCTACTTTCGTAAGTAATGCTTCCTCACGCAGCTGAATTTTCTTCGCCCACGGGTGTTGGTACTTCCCTAGTACCATTTATTTGGAAATATCTTTGCCTAGTGCACTTTAATGCGATCTACTGGCGAAAACTCTTTAGCAGTTAATGACCAGAAAAAAGTAAGTCATAAGTTAGAATATGAACGAAATATAACGCTGTTAAGTGAACCTAGCGCCAGAGTGTCTCTATGGTAAACAAATATATAAACAAAGTATAGTGAATTTAAAGAGTACATTTATTCTGCTGTGGTTTATGCGCTATCGACGAAGTAGATTTAATTCAATCCAATAAGTTTAAATGAAATGCAAGAAAAAATTGCGTATAAAATTTAATATTCCGTACAAGGAAGTCATGTGGTGTGCACACATCAGATTTTTTTTTTTAGATTACGATACGAGCAAGCAACAACAGACCAAGGAGGAGCAACGAGCATAAAAGCCTCGAGACCACCACAAACTAGTCGTTTCGAACAAGCAAAAATGATGGATATAATTTTTGTTTCTAACATTAATTGTCTGAATATCATGATGGAAATCGCTGCTATGATTTCGATGATCTGTTGAAAGATGTAACTAAAGAGATCTGCTCGATATTCAAGTTTATTATGACATATGCAGTTAAAGAGATATCTGCGCAAAAGTTGACAATTTGGAAATTCTTATTACAATTTCCACTAACTATATTTAATAATTAATTTAATATTTAACTTTATGTTTAAAATATGTTTGATTTTACTTGTTGATGTTACGAGTGATAAATAATTACATCGGAAACCAAAAATTTGTAAATATTCCATGAATAAAAAACAAAAATTACATATACGCCAAATTAGATAACATAAATTATTTCAAATTCTATTAAACTAATCTAAAAAATAAAATAAAATAAAATCACACACGCGAATTAGTTTCCTTGCACTTTGAAAACGCCTAGTAATGTGAAAAAAGCTGCGCAGACCTATTTCACTGTGATTATATTCGGATCGTGCAGGAAGTTTTACATTCCTTACCAGGTGCTTTCGTGGTGTAATTGGAAGCATGCCTGGCTAGCACCCTGGAAGTTCAGAGATGGAATCCTAGCGGATATGTCATGATTTCTGTTCCAAAAAATCGTAATGACTCTACAAAGAGCGTCCGAACTAAAATAGGGTTAACGATAATTATCGTCACAACATAGATATCGCGATTGGGTTTCCTACTCCCTAACTGCCCTTCAAGTGGAAGAGAATGGTGGGAATTTTCTTCCTATTTACCGTGTGCCTTCTTGGTGTAATTGGAAGCAAGTCAGGCTAGTAATGGGAAGATCTGTAATTCGAGTTTTCATGTTTTCTGCTTCGAAATAAACTTGATGGTTCTGTTAAGATACGTTCTACATCTCATTTTGAAATTTCTACTAGTTTGTCATATTTTGTTTTAAATAAATCTATCAGTAGAGAATAAAGTAATTAAAAGCTAATTTGTCAATGACCGTAATGGCATTAAAAAAAACTGTAGTTAAAATCATCTAAGCTATACCTAGCAGTTATCCCATATTGCATTACTGAAGGTATAGGGTCCATACTTGTGTAATGCTAATATAAATGCTCTTCAGATCCTACGAGACTGACAAGCGAGTTATCGGACCATCAGGGGAAATATAAATACTGCAAGTATCTCAGGAAAAGAAAATATGGATGAGAAACAGACATAAAAAAAGACATATTTTTCAAGAAATTAAGAAAATAAAATAGGCTGACAGAAAATATTTTGCTGTTATTAATAACACTACAGACACTACTGTTCCTATATTTACAGTATTGTCAAAAAGAAAAGTGGAGGCCGATATGTTCTCAAGTGCAAAGATTATGATATCAATCCTAGATAAAAAATATAAAAGTTATGGGTCTGATTTCCACCTCCCCATTAGTTGGTTAAATGTTTGGTTTCCAAATTTATCATTATAATTGGATAAAAGACATCGTTTGCCCGTTTTCCATTATGTAAATACGTGCATCATTAGCGTTATGTAAGAATCAAATGATAGGAATTAGTTTGGAAATGACGCACTTAAGAAAGATTAATTTTACGCGCATTACTATTTTTAGGATAAAAAAGGAAAATAATATAATTAAAAAGGAGCATTAAAGAGTAAAGAGTACTATTACAAATGAAAGTTAGAATTTATCTTCCGTATCAGATTAAAATTGCTATTTTACCTAGCATATTCTCTACCTTACATGTTTATACGTATACATGTATACATCTCAAATTGAAAGGATCCGAAAAGTTTTCAATTGATACCTTCACCCGACAACACCGAACCAAGCGTGCAGCTAATTTAGCAACCTGATTCTAGACCAGTGTTTCTCAACCGGTGGTAGGCAAAGAAGCAAAGTATTTTTAACTATTAAATCCAAAAATTAATGCCCCGGCATCCTGATTGAGCTTTTTCTCTAACACTCGTAAATTTATGCGATTTGAGCTTTGTTCAAGAGTGGTGGTGGTAGTAGTACTTTGTAGTGGTGGTACTAAAGGTTTTCAATTTTTTCTTTTAAGTTCGTACACGTACACGTTAGTCGAAAGGTTGTGAACCGCTGGTTTAGATGGTACGCGTGAGTCAAAAGGTTGAGAACCGCTGTTCTAGACTATACGATACAGGATGAATATTGCATCATATCAGGCTCTAGACAATGATGCTGCACATTGAGCATTCTGAAGAGCTGTTTTGTAATTGCATCTTCCATCGAAAATTTGTATTAGTAAAAAGAAAGACAATAAAATTGTAGTGCACATAAATCTCCACTATGTGATGTCGTCTAAAACAGCATGCAAAACAATAGCCCTTTTTCAGCGTATTTTTCCAATAAAGAAAGTCGTTTAATAGGTTTATTCAGTTCCTCTTGTTCGTAAAACAAGTAGGAAAAGGTCAGTCAGAGGATTTAAATTATATTAATTAAAATATTATGCTAATTTTATTTTATTTAGCACCTATTAAAACGCAAAATCACCACTTACGAGGTCCAGACTTTTCACAGAGTGGTCTTGCGTTTTCATTACAGGCGACAGGTTGAACTTTGTAATCTTCTGAGGGCATGACGGTTGCACATTGCTCATTCATATATGGCTTGCGAGTCCAAAGAGAGTAATCATCTTCCTCGACGGATCCTTGATCGTTGGAAAAAATCCATTTTTTTGATCCCATCTGATCATCTTTTTTCAATCCTATAAAAAAGAAAAACAGAATAAAATGATTACTCTTTACGAATATAAAATAATTAGCGATTGCCTGTTCTAATAGGGGACCGGAAAGTAATGTCGCTTTCTTACATTAAATTCAAACGAATAAATTTGTAACAATGTTTTTATTTTTAATCAATAATATAAAACACCTTCGTTATCAGCAACCTTTGCCATCTAGTCTGCCGATTTCAATCCCAGACCGATAAAAATCAATTGGTTTTTGAGTTAAATATCTCGAGATGGCATTTTGGACATCATCCAAATTTTTAAATTTTTTGTCACTAAAAAATATTGTAGGGATCGGAATAAATGGAAATCCGAGGGTGTGATATCGGGCGAATATGGTGGGTGAGGCAGTACCTCCCACCCCAATTCATTATATTTTTCCAGTGTTCGTCTTTCACAGTGCGGTCTTGCATTGTCGTGTTGCAGAATGACGCCTTTTCCGTTGATAATCGCCAGATATTTTTCGATTAAAGATTGGTTCATTAGATCCAATTGTTCACAATATAGGTCTACATTAACAGTTTTTCCAAGTTTCAGCAATTCAAAATGAACAATTCCGCGAATACTCCATCAAACACCCAGAAGCGCCTTTTCGGGATGTAAACCCTTTGTAACCCCTATTAAAACTGCCTTTTGAGTTTTGGATTATCATATAGGACTTTATGACTTATGTTTTTGTCTCCACTAATCAAACGATCAAAAAAGGTTCTGTATGGTGCCGTTCAAGTAATACGTTGCTTCTGATGGCATTAGGTTGGCTTTGTTCTTTTCGGACAGATTATTTGGGGGACTCAATACACCTGCTTTGGCTTATTTTTCCATTCTGCTTTAAATGTTCTTGGATGGTTGACCAAGGTTGGTTAAGAGTGTTTGACATGGATTTGCTTCCACTTCTGCCATTAGCATGTTGTTGTCGGCATGCGCAGAAACGACATTACTTTCCGGTCCCCCTATTATATTCATATATTTTAACTCGATCTTAATCCTTTTCGCAAAATTAGTTTCTTTGATGATCGTCTAAATGTCATCTTCTTGTAACAATTTAGTTAACGATGGCCAAAGTTTTAACATTTTAATTAAAAAATACAGCAGAATTCTAACTCGTAACTAACTCTTCAGTCTGAATAGACAGTGTTATAACCTTACGAGATAAATGTAGCGAAAGTTGGTTAATTCGTTAATAACTCGTTAATTCCGACTATATTGATCTGAAATGCTAATTAGCCAGCACAATTTCCTTGTTCCAACAACTAAAGGGATATATAAAAACGTTATCTATGCAGTTAAACGGCTTCACAGGAAAATGTTTCTGAATGAAATTGAGGTTAAAAAGTCAGCTGCTGTTGTAGAAGATAAAAGATGTGAGTATATACTAAAGAATTTGAAAAATGCTTTCTGTTATTAAAAACTTTCAGTTTTGCTCTTGCTGTAAAAGATATTAATATTTCATTTCAATTCAGGTCATGGAAAACATTTCTTGCAAATAACGGTGTAGTTCTTTAAAATAGTTTACCAATGATAATATCACGAACATAAACGTCGTAGAGAAAATATTGCTGGGAGAAAACATTGTCCTGAGAAACATCAAGGTAGAAAAGTAAGCAAGAGCAAAAACACAACAATTCTAACGAAACATCGTGATATAAAACAACGTGGTAGAAATTGCACTACAAAATTAAATTATGTCTACTTAGAAAGCAACTATAAAATTTCTCAGCAGCTTAAAACATCTTCGCAACAAGCAACTTGGCCTATCAGAATTCAAATATCTGTTGGAAAAAAGGTCGATTTGAACGCTAGCAAACACCAGATCATACTTTAAATATCTATTATAAAAGAATGCAGCTATGAAACATCATATAGCTTAAACATCGCAGAGATAACATCATATTAAATGTAATTAATATGTGTAAAGAAGTTATCGGATTGGCAAACGTTAAAAAAAACTGGAAATTTTCCTAAATACGCATTCTCATAGAAACAGTTCTACCGAAATTTTTTCTTCAGAGGCCAAAAACGTTGTCTTCAACGATGCTTGAGATGATGCAGCAATATCTCTTGATTTTTCTTTTAATTTAGATTGGACGTCAGATGTTTAATACAGTTTTAAAAGAAATTTATGTGTAATCATAGAATAATAATTTCTTGATGATTAACAGAGGAATGGATACTTTTTATATACTTGGAAAATACGTACTTCATATTATTTTGTTAAAAATTAAGAAAGAATGACTAAAATGTAAGGCATATGCAGATATATAAAAAAATTAAATGTAACTTACAAAGACTTTTTTGAAACACCATAATACATTCATGTTACTATTTATATTTGTATTTCAGTTAAATAGTCTGCTCTTAAGAATGATACAGCACTATTTAATCAAAACTGCTGCTGCAATGAGTTAGACCCCCTACATTGAGATTTATTCTTATATTTTATACATATTTGAGAAGATATTACAATATTTATTTGTAAAATTTCCACACTTTTTACCATAATTTTTTTAACCTAAAAGGAAAGGGTATTTAAGTGAGACTCAAATATGATATGTTCAATAAAATATTAAGCACTCTTGTAATTGAAGAAAACGCTTTGGCTGCTCTTATGTCAGGGAGGTTGCACCTTTGTAGCAGACATTAAAAATTAAAGATGGAAAACACTTTAATACATACGTGATGATTTTTTTTAATTCAAAGGGATGACTTAAGCAGTGGCGTGGTAAATAAGTTCGATTGCGTTGTATAGTTGATTGCACTGTTATGGCTGGCAACATAACAGAAAATAGTATTATTATGCCACCAAAGATCTTTGCACAAATACTATTAAATAGTTCGTACGCATGTACTGTAAACGAAGCATATATTTTCCCTCTTTGCGCTTGTTTTATATGTGTGAGAGTCTTCTAAAATTCTTAAGGAAGAATTTCAGCTTGTAAATATACATGCTTATTGATGCTTATGTACAGTGGGTGTTTAAGACATTACAGAGTAGATAAAAAGTAGATGTGACCATAACTGATGATTGCACGCGCAATTGGAGTGGATAACATCTGACAGTTTTTCATGACACATAGATTGTCCCTAATTAATTGAATTGCGAACGAGACTGAATTATCGGAGGCTATCTACACATAGCCTGTAATCTTGCTCCGTCAAGAGCATGGCACTCTGTCTTTCCTCAGCGGCCACTCACTGCGTTTTCCCAACGGAAGGTGGTTTCAGCAAGAAGGTGATGATACGCCACTTTCGGTGGGGATTAGAGGCATCCCACATCTTCGATCATCCTTCAGTGGATTGCGACTTCGCAATCAGAACATCAGCACTTCGTACATCATCAGCCTCTACAGCATATAGAAACATTAAAAGGGAAAAAGAAAAACAACAGCAACACAAAAGACTGAAAAACAAAAGAGAATATTAAGTGCAGTGCCCGGGGTGCTATGTAGCCCATAGCTTTATGTAGAACTGCAGTGGACGTCTTGCTTAGTCCGTTGTAACATCAAGCTTTCTCAACGTCATATCAGTTGTTCGGCTTAATGGCCGTGATTTTATAAGGATTGTACAATCTGGGTCTCAGTTTTAATTTTGTCCCATATTGGGGTTTTGGACAAGTCCTTTATAGAGTATATGCTAATACATTTGAATGAAAGTATTCTAACCTTTTCTATATTATAGGTTAAAAATGCACCCAGTTCAGTGCAGAGTTGACACGTATGCAAAGATCGAAAATAAAATGTCGCAGATTACATGAGAGTGTGTACAATGCTCTTAGTAAACATACGGAGCGCACGAATATAAGAAAAGTCAGAAGGAAGGCAGTTTTTAAAGATGTATGCTACAAGTCCACTTGAGATATACGTGTAGCATAACTTAAAGGTACATCTGAGAGACTTAACACATACAAAAAATATTAGTAAACTTGAGAATGGTTGTAGTATGATAGTATAACCGAAGAATTCGATATCGAGCGCAGTTCCGTATGTACCTGGAAAGCCTTACAGGATACCAATACCACTGTGAGAAAGGTTAATAGTGGTCATCAAAAAAAAAAAAAATGTCAGTAGATGACCGGTATATGTTCTGAAGACCAAAAGAGACCAATATACACTCTGTCACAAAAATATATGCACCCAGAAGAAATTGAGCCACAATCACGAAACTCGGCAAGAATTTAGTCTGGTAAGAAACATGCAAATGATTTAAATTTCGACGCCAATGAGACAAGAGTAAGTGCGCTATGCGCATATGAGATGCGCAGCTGGAAGAGTTTAAAAGCATGACTGCTTGTGTCGTAGGGTCATTCAAACAAATCTGTCTACATGGATGGACGGTATTGTGATTAGAGATGCCTCTGAGACGTAATCAGCGGCAGTGCGAACAGTTGTCGGACTTTGAGAAGGGGCGTATAGTAGTCCTCAGAAAGGCAAGTTGGTGGAACAGGCGTATCAGCCGCCACCTCGGTCGGAGCGATTTGGTCGTTGCTAGGCGTTTGCGACAATAGATCAAAGAGGATCAGGGCATTCCAGGAACAGGAACGAGCGCAATTATTGCACAATTATAAGAGCTGCCACTTCCGCACCAACAACGTCGCTAGCATCGATTCGACGCCATTTACCACCTTCCAAGTATCCGGAAGTATCAAGGGAAACCATTCGAAGACGACTAGCCGACGCTGCTGTATGCTGCCGACGTCCACGCCTACCGCTACCCCACATCATATGCATTGTCGATTGGATTTTTGCCAAACTCGAGCAACCTGGAGTATGACCAGCTGGAGGCGTGTGATCTTCAGCGATGAATACCGATTCAGTCTGAATGCTGATGACCAACGCACACGCATGTGGAGGCGGCCAGGCTAGCGGTCCGATCCGGCGTTAGTTGTCGAGCAGAATACGGCGATTACACAAAGTGTGACAGTATAGGGAGCGATATGTTGGACATACGATCACCTCTCGTCGTTCAAAGCACTATGATGACTGACAGTTACGTGAATGACATTTTAACACCGGCTTTATTGCCTGTGTTTTCAAGGCGCGTAGGTGCCATTCATCAGCAAGACAAATCTGTCTACATGGATGGACCTACATGGATGTCGATATACTGCGCGGCTCTTCCAACAATGTCTTCGACGATATGACGTACTTTCGTGGCCTGCCAGGTCTCCAGACTTCTCGCTAATAAGCTAATAGAGCATGTTTGAGACCTGCTTGGAAGACAACTGCAGCCGTCCTAGTATTTGGTTAATTTACTGCCCAGTAGCGAAGATTATGGCATTGTCTTCCGCAGGGGGTCATAGGTGACCTATTTGATTCAATGCCACGACATGTTTCGTTTTGTATAGCTGCCAGAGGTGGCTATACTGCTTAATGATTTGTAATCTTTTTCATGTCATAACTTCTTAGTAAAACGGTCTTTTGTTCCGAATTTCTAATAATTTGTTTATCTCCTCATATCCTACTACGTGTTAAGTTTTGTGATAGTAGTTCATTTACTTTTGGGTGCATATCTTTCTTTTGTGACAGAGTATATATAGTAGGAATCCATCAATCAACGGGCAATATTGTTCAGCAGCTGCGTACGTCAGCATGGCGGCAAGTGGTTGCGGTGTACTGTCGCCAGACGACTTCGTAAAAGTGACCTATTCGTTTGTCGTCCTGAATGATGAATTCAGTTAACGGTTTCTTATCGACGGCGTCGTTTAAACAAGCATAAAGAGCATAGAGATTGCGGGCATCTTCAATATGGTGTGAGGTAGAGGCACGGTTTCATTCTAGTAATGTTAGGATTATTTAGATTATGGAAAAGCACTAGAGATCTATTTGCTTAAGGGGATAAATGCCATTGTGGAAGACATTTTAAAGGAAAGCTGGCTCGTGTTCACAATACACAAAAAAACACACAAATTCCGATGCTGCTATTCCGAAAATGGCATGGTATGGCTTTAACAGAATAATACTAAGAGATGCTCATTGAGGAACGGGCACATTTACTTCAAGATCAATTAGATTATTTGGTGTGGTGTATGAAGAGATGCTGCCACTCAAACATCGCATTTAGAGAGGTCATATCTACTACTTAGGAACATCTGCTTGTTGTTGTTTCTCCTGGGCAGTCAATCATTTGTAGTAAAGGCAATCTTCCTATAAGGCCCCTTCCCGCTTGATTTCTACTAGATACTACTGCTACTTTTATAATATTCCTACTATGCATATTTTTGCCCTAATTTTTTTTCTTCTTGTAAGTACGAAATGCATGGTACCACCCCCATGTGAGGTTTTACAGAATTACGCCGTAACAAATAAATCTGTGCTTAAATTTTGCAGACAAGTAAATATACCGGGTGGCCATAATTAAACTGACAGTGCTCACAGTGTTCTGTAGCGCGATCTATTTGCGAGAATGACGCCACATTTTGTAGGAAGATTAAACAAGACGGGGGACGAAGGATTCCGCGAAAAAAAATTAGTTCCAAAAGTCACCGCTAGGGAAATATTTGGCGCTGTGTAATAGAAAAAAATAGAGTGTTAACAAATGCAAATCAATACGGAATAAAATTTATCGTAGGTCCATTCTTCTATGAGAACATTACCCGACAGGACCGGAAACCTGTTCTGTTACGGAGAGAAATATCGCCACATGTTGAACAGCTTTGTCATTCCGGCACTTCAACAAAGACAATGCCTGGGGAAAATCATTTTCATGCAAGATGGAGCCCCTCCACACGTTGCTGTACGGGTGCAACAGATGCTACGACAGAAATTCACAACAGAAAAAGAGTCATTAGCCGCTACTTTGAAACTGCATGGCCACCTCGGTCGCCTGATCATACACCATGTGACTTCTGGCTATGCGGTTACCTTAAGTCTATCAAGATCTATCAAGGAGTGGTCCAGGACCTGGCTACGTTGAAGGATAACATATCACGGACTGTACGGGAGATTCCTGCAGACATTTTACTTTCTGCTGTTGTGCATACTGTGCACAGAATGCAATATATGGTCCACAACAACGGCACCCACATTGAACCTCATTTGAATGCAAAATAAAAGGTAATTTCCGTATTGATTTGCATTTGTTAACACTCTATTTTCTATTACACAGGGCGAAATATTCCCCTAGCGGTGACTTTTGGAACTAATTTTTTTTCGCGGAATCCTTTGTCCCACGTCTTGTTTAATCTTCCTACAAAATGTGGCGTCATTCTCGAAACTAGATCACGCTACAGAACACTGTGAGCATTGTCAGTTTAATTACGGCCACCCGTTATATATAATATAACTGCTCCATTATTGTAATAAGTTGACTTGGTGGAAAGTAAGTTGCAACGGATTGACGATGGCTCTCTGCATTATAACTTGAAGAACTTTTACTGCGTAGTTATAAAGATGACTTGGCGGTAAATTCCACACATAATTGTATTCCTTGATAATGCACATAATCACTGTGGGTGCGCTATGCAGCCCCCAATTTTGTACAGCTTACATTTTTTAAATAATGGAAGAAAATTGGAAAAGTAATCTCTGCGTAGCTAGCGGCAAGGCGACACATGCATCTAGACTCTAGAAGCAGAAGTGAAGAGCGAAGAAGGGGGAGTTGCGACGCAATTAACTTTTTACACCGAATTCCATTTCAGATTACATGACAGATTAATGTTAAGATTTCATCGATAAGTGCGCAATACATATTAGATGACGGATCTTTTTCGTTTAGTTAGAAAAATTATTGCTCTGTTATATATAACACAATTAGTGCAACTGTATACAAATAAAAGTCAAATAAAGCAAAATGATATACTCCATTCCTATATCGTTTTATAAAATTATACAACGCGCAACTTTGATAATATCATTCATTTTGAAGAAGCAGTAAATACAAATAGAATTCAAATTGAGGAAATGCGGAGTACGTTTGATAAAAATCCATTTTTTAAAGAAGAGGTTGAATATATACTTTATTTAATATTTCACACATTAAAGATGTAAAATTTTAAGATTCATAGACGTATGATTTTAACCAATTATAATGAAACCAGTAAGGTCATTTAAGTGAAATAAATACTTTTTGTTTCATTTCGTTATAAATTATTATGTTATACTAGTTATATAAAAGCATGATGCAAAAATTTTACCTATGTATGCCTTCGGAGGCATTGTTGCTTCAGCATATATTTTCAGTTCTGAAGCCAATTCTTTCAGTCCTTCGTCACTTATGCGTTTCGAGATAGGAACTCCATTATTTTTTCCTTGACAAAAATTTTCATAACTACCCAAAAAAATGGATTGACTTGAATGGGTGACACACATGTCATCGGATTTCAAATGATAGTAAGCTGTTGGGCAACCTATCATATCAAAACAAAAGTATAAACATTAACACACTGATTAAAATTTGTCATATGACAATAAATTCTTAGTAAGTATTTATCACTTAGGATTATATTATAAGGTATTTCTCTCGCCTTCTTAGCCTGCACGTTCAGCGCGTAATTGAGAGGTCCGCGGTTCGATTCCCGGGCAAGGCGTTGCTAATTTTTCAAGTCTCCTGCTTCCAAAAAAATACCTAACGTCTCTACAATATAACACGTTAAACACATTTAAAAGAAGAAAACTAAATCATAAGTATTATAATTTTGTATCTTACTATATGACTACCATATACCTTACTACAATGAAAACTATCCTTCCAGGTTACTGTATTGCATTACTTTTGTCACTTGCAACGTCTGTTCACTTTTAGTACACAGTATTTATTTTTGCATTGCACATATTGCCTGTTCTAGTGTATATGCCGATTATCTGTATCACTGTATTTGTTTCATTTCTTCGAGGTGTTTGTTGTTTTAATTTGTGGATTTCATGTTAAGGCAAAATAAAAAACATTGTTGTTTGAGGAAAGTATTTGTTTAAGACTTGAGTGCAAGAGATCCAGTAAAAACTAATGTGTAGCTACATCAGGAATAATTAAGTTTCCATTATTTAAATAAGCACACAAATCTCTGTATGGCGTTAATTTCATATGAAATAATACTTTTCTATTCGAGTTTTTCATTTTGAACAGGCCATTTTAAACATAAGATGTTGAGTTCTGTATTTTTAACTAGAGCGGAGGTTCCCATACTTTTGAAATTTCGTACCAAATCTATAAGAATCAAAAATATGTTCACCGTCATAAAAGTATTTTTCGATTAAAAATCAATGCACGTTTTAGCATGTATTAATTATTCATCGTGATAGGAATATACAATGCTTGCATGTTTTTGTATTAATTGATTGTGGAGTGTTTATAATCAAAGAATACATTTTAAATTTATATAATTCAATTATATTATTAATTTTTTACGTGATAATAAAGTATAAATATACCATACAATTCGCGAAGCTAAATTTTTGGAAAATTCTAGTACTGTAACCAGTCCTTTAACATAAACTATTGGACTAACTGTGACAACAAGGCTGCCCTCTGGTGAGTAGCAGAGAAGTACTTCAGTAAAAGCCAAGGCTCCCACTTGATAGTTTGTATCAGATTGTTGCTGTGTAATTTTGTTAAAGTTAAATGTAATGTTCGTGTGTAGCTTAAACCTGTTAATAAATACTTGTTACACTATACAGGGCTATTCTATGACCCTATCTAAAACGACCCCTTCACAAAGTGACGCCCAACGTTAATGTTTAGCTTTAAGAATTTTCCTTGGCTTTTGCTCACTTTCTTTTTCAGAAACAGTACTTGCAGCCACACCCGCTGGATATAACTCCTAAAACTTTAGGAAAAGAGATACCTTGCCCTTCAGGTATGATGTTTTTTTTTTTTTTTTTTTTTTTTTTTTTTTGTGCCACTCCGATGGCCTATCAACAACAAATAGTTGTCGTAAATGATATGATTTGTTTTGCATTTAAACACTATTGTTCTATAATGTGTTAACCCTTAATGTTGAAAACGTGAAAATACTTAAATACGAAAACGTGAAACTACGTAAAAATATAAAAACGTAAAAATACTTTACTGTGTTCTTACAGTATATATGTATGTGGGATTCACCAATGCCCGATGCTGAATTAGAATTGCCCGTTGTGACGTAATCAGTATAGCATCACCCAGCGCAGTAAGAATCATCCCAGACAGCGCTGAGACCTGGTCGAGAGCGGAGGGCAGACGTGACCAGACGGCTCACGCGTCCTCAAGAGTTTATGAATTTAGATTGTGCTTTTGATGTTATGCCTTTAGCTGTGATGACTCTAGACGATCATACTATTAAAATGTTTGTGTAAAAGGACTACATCATTATGTTAATCCTGCATACCGTTAACTTCATCTTTACTTACTTTATCTTATTAAACCAATATTAAATATCCGTGCTCTCAATTCTCTGAGTTAAGTCAAATTCTACAAAAAAATATGGCGAACAATCGTGCCGCCTCGAATTCCAAAATGTGCGAGTAGTAAAACTGGGCTTTGAACTGTGAACTGAGTGAACTGTTCTCACAAGTTATTCGATTTATTGGATTACGCATATAAAGTGTGGATTACCCAATTGACGACGATCATCTGTCGGGTGAGTACAAAACTTTCTTTGCAATATGAAGTTAGTAGAAATTCTAGAATTGGAAGCAGCTTTAAAGAACAGTAAAAGTTCTGAAATCAAAAGTTTGCATAAGCTTATTTTTAATACTGATGGAGACCGAAATAACCGGAAAAGATTACGTGAATTTTCTGGCTTTATATTTAAACCAGAATCTGAAGAATTTAATAAGAAAATATATACAGTGCAGAATAGTTTTACTTTGAATGAGTTAATTAAAGTTTGCAGTGTATTGTGCATAAATTCAGAAGGGTTTGAAAATCGGAAGTAGTCGTAACCCGAATTGTCTCTTTCCTATGTGATTTGTCTGTATTATTTGAAAATATTCTGCATGAAGAAAATAGTGATATTGAAGATGAAACTATTAATAAAATTTCTGAAGTAATGCTTGATGATAATCAAAGAGACAATCCTGGTTTTTAATGAGTCTCAAGTAAATAATAGTATGCAGCTTCCAATTCAAGATCATTTTAAACCTCATCTTAGTTTTTCTGATATTGAAAGTATTTTTAATCTTTTTCTGGTAATGCATATGAAAATGTTGATAAATGGATTGATGAATTTGAAGATGTTATAAATTCTTTGAAATCAAGTGATTTGCATAAATTAGTTTTTGCTAAAAGATCGTTAAAAAGGTAAAGCGAAACTATTTATTCAGAGTGAACCTAAAGTTAATGACTGGTGTAAATTAAAAAAGCTTTTGAAATCTGAATATGGTAAAGCTTTTAATTCTGCTGAATTGCATGAAATGTTATGTAAGCGTAAATTAATGCCTAATCAATCTTTAAATGTGTATTTTTTGAAAATGAAAGAAATGTGTTCGCGAGGTAACATTGAAGATGCTTCATTAATTAAATATGTTATTGATGGTATTCTCGATTCTGTGGTTAGGAAAACTATACTATATGGTTGCGAAGCAATATCTGAATTTAAACAAAGGCTTAAAATTTATGATAAAATGAGATCGGACAATGATAAGTTTAAAAATCCGAAACCGAAAGTAGACATTCAAGTTAAAGATAGATGTAAGCCTACGTCATCAAACCGAAATCAATCTAACGTTAGTAAGGTCAAATGTTTTAATTGCTGAGGAATTTGGGCATTAAGTCAAAGTCTCATTGTGTTAAACAAATCGAAGGGTGATAAAATGTTTTAAAATGTAAAAAGTTTCGGGCATTAATCAACGAACTGTCCAGAGCGGAAACCCCGAGACACAACAAGCAGCTTTATTACAACGAATTTCTGACAAGGATAGAATTATGAAGACTGTAGAAATAAATAATCATTTAGTTGATAGTTTAGTTGACACTAGTTCAGATGTAACGATATGCAGCGTAGAGTTACACAAGCAGATTGGTTCTCCTAATTTAAATTGTAGCGATATCACACTAAACGGAATTGAATCAAAGCAAACGTACCCCATCGGCTTTTTCATTTCTGATATTTCAATTGATGGTTTTTTACTTCGTACGAAAATTTATGTTGTTACGTCATTATGTAATCAAATTGTATTAGGTTTGGATGTATTGAGTCAGTTTAACTTCTCTTTACCGAGAATGGCCTTCAAATAATTTCTCATCGGAATAAAAGTAATGTAAGCTTGATAACTGCTGAGTCATCTCGAAATTCTAACGTTCGTTGCGTTATGGGAAAATTTGAATATTGCTGTGTCATTGAAGAATGTTTATGATCTTTCTCAGTCGTCTGACGTCTCCGTTAATGTAAACAAAAGTCCCGAAAGCGGAAGTAGCTCGACGTTTAATTACCTTTCGCATCTGGTGAATGCTATTTCTGTCAACGAGATTGATTTATCGCATATTTTGAATGCAGAACATAAAGAAAGACTGTGTAATTTAATTAATTCGTACCAGCCTCGGAAAAATAGACAATCTGACTTCAAGATGCAAATAAATTTATGCGATGATATTCCGGTCTGTCAAAATAGAAGATACATGTCTTTCGCGGAACAAAAAATTGTTGACGATCAAATTAAGGAATGGTTGAAAGAGGGCATAATAAAGCTTAGCAATTCTAATTATGCAGCGCCTATTGTTTTGTGTAATAAGCGTGATTATTCGAAACGTTTATGTATAGATTATCGGAAATTAAATAAGAAGATTATTAAAGACAAGTTTCCATTGCCTTTAATTCCGGAAGTACTTGATCGCTTAGAACAGTCAAAAGTCTTCACGATACTAGATTTGAAAAATGGCTTTATCCATGTAGACATAGATGAAAATTGGGGTTTTCATCCGCAGAGAACCCGTTGGCGCTGTTGTAATTTTTACTCGCCAAGCTCCGATGAAGCCGGGCCGTAAACGTGATTTTTAGTGCATGTAATTTCAAGTTAGCTGACAAAACAGTATATTAAGCATATGGTAGTAAAAATTCACAGATAATAAGCATGTAGATGTAAAACTAAACATTTAAACGTGATATACGAAAATAAACCCGTCTTTTTCATAATATATTTCACAATACAAATAACCTTCAACAGTAATCAAATTTTCTTCAGTAGCATTGTTAATAAAACTAGAACTTTATACATTTTATTATTTTTCAAGAGTCATTTGAACTGTATTCCTTACACCAGCAGTGGTTTGCTAATTTTGATGACCATGGGGATACATCAAACTACTCTGTCATCTTAGATAATCAATAATATTTTTTATTTCAATTTAATCAGCTATTTATGTCACACCTGCCATCCTCTGAAAGGCTGTTGTTAGAAAAGCATTAACAATATAGTATCTGTGTTAAAATTTTACGCCATAAGAATTGGAGCCGAGAACCGGCATCTATCAACGAAAACTTCTTTAATTATACGAAAATATTTCTATCTATTCGCTTGTTAAAAAATTCAGAAAAATAACGTGGAAAATTTGAAAAAAATAATAATAAAGTAA